CTATGCAAGCATGCAGTTGCGAATGAGTTGGTCGCTTATCATCTATGGTCTTTTCTTCTAGTATGCGCTCTCGCCTCAACTCCGAGCCTCTACTAGACTGTTATTCGCTCTACTCGTAAGAAAATTTGCTTTCATATGCAGTGTCTTCGATGGTTCCCTTTATTTTTTCCTTAACAGATGATCATCTTCGCACCACTGGATACTTTTTGAAAGGCACAACCCAGGCAGAAGTCGTGTGAACAATTCCCTTCGGTCTATAGGAGACCTCTAGGGCAATCACAAATGTGGCATTCCCATGCACGGAAATCACCTAACAAGAGGTGATTGGGAAGGAATCACCCAGGGCCTTGCAAAATAAGCTACTGCAGCTGCAATTCTTTTTTTCTTATCAGGCTGTTGTCTGGCGCCCTCTCATCTGTAGCGCTCTCTCGCCTCATACTCTCCTCTCCGCGCTTAGTCTCTCATTCCCTTAGCACAGCCGATTAGGAAGGTGAGTGAGCCCTTAACCTGAGCGTTTTTGACGGATTCTTTTCCTTTTTTCTTTACCGGCCCTGTTCGCACCTATATTCGTTCGTGCAAGAACCACACCAATTTAATGCTGGGCATGGCTTTAAGACAATAACCAGACGGAGGTGGTCAAGGAATGTGTCCTGAAGAATGAAGTCGAGTTCTTCTGTGAGCGGTGATTTCATCCATAGCTCGAAACCACTGCTAGAAATAAGAGCTCTCCTATCCGGGCCGTAAATGTTTCTCTAAAGTAGGCATCGTCTCAGAATAGAGTATAGCAAAAAAACGTAGAATTCTCGATTGAATCTTATTATTAAACTATTAGTTAGAGCTATAACATACATAGCAATCTATTAGGTTGTCCTATAAGTCGTGTCGTTTTTTTAAAGCGGAAAATTTTCTTCTAAATTCCCAGGTTTTTACATCACCTCATATACCATTCGAAAGAGAATTGTCTGCTCTACAAGATTTGTTTTCTCCAGGGTTTTCAAATTTTAGGCCTGCGAAATGGGAGGTCCAGCCGACAAAAATTGACCAAACCGACAACTAGCTCTAACTTTATCTTCCCTCAGGAGAAATCAATCAATGATGTACCCTCTACTTACCATGACCTCTTCTAAACATTCCACTCTTAGGTTGTCCGAAAAAGCTTTGCCGTGTTTCTTTTCGAATTGGCTGACCGATAAGCCATAGCAATTTTCAAATTGAAATTGTTCCTCTGAAACGCTATTGTTTCATATCAAGTGGTGTATCTTTTGTGAGCACTTCTTCTGCTCTATTCGCTCATTTGTTTTGTTTTTATGTTTGTTGTGGAATTAGTCGAATT